TCTGTGGTTTAACCCACAGCGCCACCCGCGTCCCCCTCATCATCACTATTCTTATTCAAATATTCATATCCTGCCTCTCAAGTTACAAATTCTTCCAAACTGGCTAAATAAAAACATCAGCATTTAGTCATCAGAAACGTTCTCATAGCTGGTTGTAGATGGCCCTGTTATACTCTCCCCCTGGCAGGGGCAGACTTATTTTGTGTGAGGCCAAAATAAATATGGCGCCCCTCAAATGGAACTTCTCATTTATGGATCTTCTCAATTTTGTGAACCCTGTGCAGGGAAACCACCTTCACTGCCCTACATCTGGCACTGCCTCTGGCTCCCACTACTGGAATATATGTATTATTGTGTATGTTTTATATAGTGAAGCTGTGGTAATTTACCCGTGACATAGGTTATCTTTCAAATTGCTAATTTATTTTGTCTACATTGTGATCCTACAACGTGGATGCTAGTTGAGCGCTGGAAGGATCCTGCATCTTACTATAATCAAATTAAGTGTCTTTACACCCCAAGAATCCAGTTGTAACAATGGATAGAAGCACAAGGAGCTGCTAAGAGGCACACAGCTGTAACAAGAATATATTGATAATGAGAAGAAGTTTGCCATAAAGTGTGCATTTCAGCAAGGCTTAGAAAGAATAACATAGCACAAAAATAATAATAATCACTGCATGGGAGGATGCGCTGAGTAGCTGACAAACAGGCAGGGTTCTGGATAAGTTCCTGTTTCAACGATGTTCGTCAGATTATAACACCTCAAAAGTGTTACAAGGCCTTACTCACGGTATTCACAAATGGGAGGACTTAAGGAATGTTTATTTCTCCAATGACCTAATAATAATTCAGTGGTACAGAACTGAGATGTGTGTGTGTGGGGTGTGTGTGTGACCTTAACACTTGGGTGGAAGGAGAAATAGAATGGAACGGTTGGAAGGGGAGAACAGAGAATTGCAGATCTGCAGATAAAAGGGCAGGAAGAAAAACAATCTAGGTCACAACCTGGTAAACACTGAGAAGTTATTTTTAAATTCCCCGGGAGCTGAATAAAGAGTTAGTTGCCCATAGACACCAGTGGGAAAAAATAAGGATTTGATGCTACTGGGATTGGGCACACATGAGTCCCCCCAGAACAAACAAACAAACAAACAAACAAACAAACAAACAAACACAAAGGAAGGGAGAAACCTCAAACAGCCTAAAGATGATTGGGTCTACTCAGTGCGCATGGAATACTGATTAAGGCTTAGAGGAAAACTGGGGGGGAAAGGGATACAACAGAGTGGCTGCAACCCCATAGCTGTCAACTAACAGATTTGAAAATAAGGGTTCAGCAGCCAAAATAAGGGATTTTCCGAACACAGGTATGTTCAACTTCTGAGCCCCCCCAAGCCAAAGGCAGAAAGCCCAGCCAGCAGCCAAATGAAGCCTCAAGCGGTGGTTCCCACAGCGCAGCTACCCAGCAAAGGGGATGCAGCAAGGAAAACCACCGTCACCTCTCCGCTGGGAAGTGCTGAGCAAAGGCGAGTCCCCAGGCAACGCGGCCGATTTGATTGGCACAAGGCATGCAAGCTCCACCCCCCAGTCATTCTTAGACTCCTTATTGGGTGAGCAACGCAGCCAATCAACACAGTTGGAGCCTCCCTCCTCCCTGGCCGGCAGGGAGGGAGGGAGAGGAGCTGCTTCCTTTGAAACCAGGGAAATTTAAGGGACATCAATAAGGGAAAGCAGCAGGACACAGCGCTGTGATAAGGGACTTTACCGCCAAATAAGGGACAGTTGACAGCTATGTGCAACCCTGGAAAGAAGCACTCCACACTCCACTCCATTTTACTGCAGCGCCTCACATGTTTCTATACTAATACTGATTCAAGTCTTCCGGTACTTGTGCGTATGTAGCCAAAACAGCACCATTCCGGCGCAAGGGAGAGCTACTGGCAGACCAGGGCTAACCCCCAGGTGTTCACACGTTCAAGAAAAAAATTCCAGGGGGAGGTTGAACCGCCGACAAAGTGCCGAACTCAATGGCACAGAACGTGGAGAGACTGAAGGCCTTTTGGGCCATTCTTCAAAGATGGGGGGGGGGCAGCAAGGAGATCAGCTGCAACGATAGCTGGGATGCAAAACGAGGAAACTTCTCCGCACTGCTAAAGGGTGTTGCAGTGTCTTAACAATCTGAGCCTTTATGGGTGGGTGGGAATGGCACACTTGAGAGGGAAAACCCCCTGAGAACTGGACAGGAAAGGGGAATAGAGTGGGGTGGTTGGAACAGGACGACAGATAACCCTAAGCACAAAGGGCAGAAAGAACAATTTCATTGTCTGGATAGGTCGCTTTCTGCTTCACAGTGAGAAACTATTCTATTTAAATGTTACCCGGGGCTGGAAAAGACAGAGCTGCCCATCAACGGAGAAAGAATTTAATGTTGCTGAGGTCTGAATGTCCTAAAAACAACCTCCAAACCAGAAATAAGAGCTTCTGCCCTTTCCAACTCAGTTCTTATTTTAGTATGGAACAACAGCAACAAACCTCCGCTAAAAGAAGCACAACTCCCTTTCCCCATGTTGCAGGTTTCATGGGGCTGGTGTGTGTGTGAGAGAGTGCCTATGAGAGCCCGGCAATGTAATGCTCACAATTTACCTCAGGTCAGGCTCTGAATGGTTTACAAAAGACTTCAGGCTTGCAGAATTTTTCGCTAGAACTCTGAGACTCGTCAACTGAAACCAGATGCAAAATAGCGGTTCAGGAAGGCGGTTTCAGAATTGCAGTATGAGGTACTTGGCGCACATGTGCAGCTGAGGAAGTTGTTTCCAGTAAGAAATGGATCTCGAACACAAATCCTTTCACATGCAAATCTATTCCTGTTTTCCCAAGCTTTCCTGATTTCAGTGGCCTCATGGAGAACAAGGGGAAAGCTTTTTGCTGCCACTATCGTCCAACCTTTGGGCAGGGATGGCCTGTCCTGTTTTGCTGCCTGAGGCTTACCTACCAGGGTTGCGTGGCTGCAGGTTCTGGGTTAAGGCAAGGGATCGCAAGAGGTCCGTTTCTCCTTGCTTCTCTGGCAGCAGCAGTGGTAGCAGGCCATGGGAGAAGCCAGGAGAAGTGGCTGGGGCGGCGAGATCTCGCTGGAACCCATTGCTGCCCTTTGGGATTCGGCTGCCCAAGATAGCTGCCTCAGTCTGCCTCATGGGCAGGCCGGAACCTGCCACTGGGAGTTGGAAACTCGTCGCCAGTGTTAAGTTGTGGGTGAACATATCAGACGACACAGTGATTCTTCAAACAGCTCTTGTTTATTCACAGGCCAGAACAGAACTGAACTGAAGGGCTCAGTCAGCCTGCTTATATAGAGCTCCACTAGAACGTAACTGTAACAACTTTCTGTAACTATCCAATCACTGAACGTCACTTTCAATCCCTTATTTGCATATGTGGACCTGAGTGAAAACTATCTACAGTATCCCCCTGCTGGCCCAGGGTGAGAACTTCAGTACATAACACCTGGGATGATCTCTTGCAAATCATCTGGCAATCTACCAATCTATCTACTGATAAATCCCAATCTAGCTCCTACCCACCCCGGCCTACAAAAACCTCACAGTGTTGCCATGAGGTACTGGACCCCTACTGCAGGTTGCGCCAAAGCTGAGAGAGCAGCTCACAACAATTCTGTATTATTATCCGTTGTTTTTATCTCCTCATTGTAGGTTAGGCTGAGGATAACTCTGCAGTGTTGTTGGTTGAAGGGTTGTTGAGAATGAGCGAGAGAGAGAGAGACTGCAGAAAGGTTTTAGCAGCTCTGCATTGTTATATTTCAGGCTAGCAGTGGCTAAATTGTCCCCCTGGACACCCTTCTAGGTCTAATCAAGCACTCAATTGCACACAGAAGCCTCATGCTCCATTGACTTGAAAACCAACCGGTTGCCCTTTTAAAATGTTCAAAAGCTAAAAAAGGAACCTTTTCCCCACAGGAAGTAAGACCCAAATCAGAGCAGGGACTCCTCCTGCCTTTGATGCTAACTTTTCTTCAGTCCCCTCAGGTTCAGGTAAGCATCTGCATGTCAGGGATAGATGGCAATATTTTATAGCAGGGCCCTGCTTTCTTTTTTCTTTAATTCAGCAGGATTGTGGATATTTTTCTTTCAATAAACTTTAAAGCGTGCATCATAACAAACGCACATGAAGCATATAATAAATTTAATATGAAATTTACTTCTTTCAAAAAGTAACAGTGCAGAAATATTTTTTAAAAGGGGGTGGAGGACCTCGCTTAAGAACAAAATCGGTGAGGACACAGTTCTCAAGTTTCCAGTCACTATGCTCCTTGATTTGCTGTGCTTCAGTGAAAACCCATGGAAAAGTGCCATGAGGTTACATGGGTTTTTTTCTGATCAGGGGACACAGGAGAAATGTTTAATGGAAAGGAAAACATGCATTAATGTCAGCCAACTAAGGAAGATGAAGGCCAGCTTAACTCCACATCCACCAATATTCTGAAAAACTCTACAGCAACATGTGCGTGAGGCACGAAAACCAGAACTCTCTTTTGTAGGGGCATAAATGTTCTGAGAAACGGGAGGAAAGGTTTCAGCACAGCACTGTAATAAACCAATTATAACCATCAAGAGGAAAATGGGATGATTATCGCTACTTCTCTGTAATTTTGTTTAGCCCAAAGAGCACGCTTGGTGTTCGCATGGATTACTAGGAGCTATTATTATCAGCAGGATTTGTAATGTACTATCCTATGACACATTTTTAAAATGTGGAGAAATATAGAAGAGGAGTTAGCAGAAAGTAGGTGAATGGCTGGAAAAAGTGATAAGAATGAGTTCATGAGTGTAAGGCATCAAGTGGACTTCCCAGATTATTCCTATGGTTCAACAATTTCATACGTTACTTGGGAGGAAATTTGCAAAGGGAGTATCATAGAATTGGGCAGCTGGTAGGGACCACGAGGGTCATCTAGTCCAACCCCCTGCAACATAGGAAACTTTTGCCCAACGTGGAATTAGAACCCACAACCCTAAGATTAAGACTCGCATGCTCTACCAACTGAGCTATCCCAGACAAAGAACTAATGGAGAGCATTAAGAAGAATAAGTGAGACTTATGTTGCAAAGTGGAACACCCATGTTATTTTCCACTCCCCTTCCTTCCAGTTTTATGCGCCCAACAGTCAGCCGGTGTTCTGTATCCACTGTTCATGCTCAGCTCTCATTGAGCTGGGGGTTTGTTTTGGTACTTCTGCAAACTTTGGCCTTCCCTAAGCCTGCTCATTCCTCCTGCCTGCATGAGAATGGTGTCGTTGTGGCAACATTAAGTACCATTACTTGGAGAATTAGTTTGCTGTAAGTATGTAGGCTTAGCTGAGACAGTATAGGTTGCATTTCAAGATGACATTTCAGAAAGTACAATATAGATGTAAATTGATGTACTGGAGTCCTATGCATATTATCAGCCAAATCAAAGAGAACCTGTGCATTTTGCTGCCTGGAAAGGAGTATAAAATATATCTCTTCTCACCCCCCACAATGCTACAGTCAATAATTTGAAAAGTCTTGTTGTGCCAGACACAGATTCCTACTTTTTAGAGTTGGCTCCTGGTTTTTCTTAAGAGTTAAGCCAACAAACCAGCTAGTAGGTTCCCTTTGGCCCCATTTCTTTCTCTAACCGTGCTCCTGTTTCTCCCACCGGCTCCACATACTTTGGCGGCTGAAGAATTGGGACCTGGCAGCTCAAGAGTCAAGAGGAGGCGTTGTGGGGCCCAGAGAATCCGGTGGAAGAACTAAAACAACCACAATGCTCAGTTGCTGTCTGCATTTACAAGTCTCTCCCCACTGCTTAATGCCATCTATATATGATACCCTGCAACTATAGGCCAATGCAATCCAGACAATAATGGCATTACATATTTTTTGGGGGGAGAAATATGTGCAGAACAGATACCTCGGGAAAGTTTGCTAAGCCACATAAGATATGCATTATATCTTCAAAAAACTGAGCACACAGAAGAACTTCTAGAAAATATTTGCCCATTTTAATAATGAGGAACATAAACTCAAATTTCTTATTATCTTAGGAGTCTAAGAGATTATATCATATACAGCCTTTCCTCTTTCTTTACTGCACATGTGGAAATGAACAGGGGGGTGCTAATACCCTATCCAGCTTGTAAACTTCCCAGGTGTATATTGTTTTTAAATATATATTTTTTATCCTGAGCGTTCGTTAAGGAGCTGAGGGGCTGTATATTTTATTCTCCTGGTTCACAACAAACCTGTAAAGAGGCGGCTAAGCTATGTCACACAGTGATCTTCATCACCAAAGAGGGATTTGAAATGAGGTCGCCACTGTCCTAGTCTGACACAATTTCCATTCCTGCACACTGCCTTTCATTTGGGCGACTACTGTTGGAAACAGAATGTTAGGATGGATGGGGAGTAGTTTACAGTCTGTCTTTTTTCCTGCCAAGGAAACAAAGGTGACGTACATGTCGTCTCCCATCCTGGCACTGACAACACATAGACCTGCTTAGCTTCAGCAAGGTGGTGAACTCACGTGTAGGGTCTGCAACAAATGAATTCATCTAGCACCTTTAGATAACACCCCTTGAAAAATGGTGGATAGCTACCATATCAGTGTCGTTGCAAACAGGCCAGGTTAACTGGAGTTCCAAAACCCAGGAGAAAATTCAGAGGGCATAAATTTGCAGGGTATCCCTAACTTCCATATATCCATTATATCAGGGGTTGCCTGGGGCTGACAGAGGTTGTAGGCCAACATCTGGAGAGCCTCACATTGGCTCATATCAACACTCTGTATCCAGCAGTAAAAGGTAAAGGACCCCTGGATGGTAAGGTCCAGTCAAAGACGACTATGGGGTTGTGGCGCTCATCTCACTTTCAGGCCGAGGGAGCCGGCATTTGTCCACAGACAGTTTTCCGGGTCATGTGGCCAGCATGACTAAACTGCTTCTGGCGTGATGGAAGTCAGAGCGCATGGAAACGCCGTTTACCTTCCTGCCGGAGCGGTACCTATTTATCTACTCGCATTGGTGTGCTTTCGAACTGCTGGGTTGGCAGGAGCTGGGACAGAGCAACAGGAGCTCACCCCGTCATGGGGATTCGAACTGCCGACCTTCTGATCAGCAAGCCCAAGAGGCTCAGTGAAACAACAGCGCCTCCCAGCAGTACCCTCTTGCTTTCAATGCTGGTTCAGACACATTTGACCTCACCTCTAATGTGAACCGGCCCAAAGTCCAACCACGGCAACACAAAATGCAAGGCACCGTCAGCAAACATTTGCTGTAGTTGCTAGGCAATGAAATAGCCACATCACTTCTCTTCGCCATAGAATAATTGTCCTTACCTTTTTCTGGAGGACACAATGGAAAATGAATATAAACATTCCCTGCAGAGAATTGAAAATGGTGAAGAGGTATGCCATGATGACGGTGCTTTCATTAATATACATAAGTCCAAAGGCCCAGGTCAGTCCTAATAGGCAGAGCAGAGCTATTGCACCTATAACCCACGACCTGTGGAGAGAGAGAGAAAGAAAAGAGAAAGACAGAAAGGAAAAGTGTCTTTGATTCATAGAGAAAACAGCACGATGCACAGAACAAGCATTTCATGCTATTCCTTGCGGAGAAGGAAAACACTGCACACATATTTGCGAATGCGCTTTTTGAATTCAATGCACTTTATTATTATAACTTGGGGAGGGGGATACACAGATGAAAATGTCATGAGCATGAAAACGCTTCTTTTAACACACATTTTTAAGCAGCAGCAAATGTTTGTAGCAAATGTTCTGGGGCGGCAGCAGCAGCAGTGTAAATGTAATGCAATATGCAGATACTACATGGTAAGAGGAAAATGCAAAATATTTTGAATTGGCCTCCGTTCCTTCCATGCCTATTGGCTCAGCTCACAATCTTACAAAATCTCCTATGAAAGCCCTATTGAGAAGAATGGGAGCAAATCAAGAGCACAATGGCACTCTTGCATAGCTTCCCTTCCACCCAAACTGCCCTCAGGATTATGCTGTAGGCTATTTGTCGTGATATTGCACATTATCTGCAGTTCGCTTGGTTTCTCAGTCCTTTGTAAGTGATCTTAATGTGGGGTATCCAACTCAAGTTTACTTAGAGTAGAGCTATTGATATCAATGGACCTAACACAGCCATGTTCATTTATTTGAATGGATCTACTTTGAGTATAACTTAGTTGAATACCACCCATTGCCTCTACCTTCCCCCTTCCCAAAAGTTATAGGGAGCCTTGGGGCAGCAGCAGTAAAACAAGCGCTTTTCAAGCGCCCTCACATTTGAAGGCACCCCAAACCCATTTCTTGTAGCAGTTTCAAAATCTTACCATCGCTCCCTGTCAGGGCAAGGAGTAGTTTTAAATTCTGCCTGGCTAAGCTAGAGAAATCTCAGGAATGTTTCTATAGTACTGGAGGATGAAGAATATGCATGATCCCAAAGGGGGGGGGGGGAGAAAATATTGCGCTTGTCTCTATAAAAAGCAAGAAAAGGAGCTACACACAAGTCAGACTGCTATGCCTAAGAAAATTTTTGAAGTTAATGAGGAATAAACTAGATGTTAGACACAGATGCATTTAAGATTACCTTAATCCCTTCTTTTGAAATCAAATCAGCCAATCAATGCCAGAGAAAATGATGATGATATTGAGATTTTAAATACCAGAGAAAATTGTGATTGTTCTGGGATTGGGAGAGGAAAAAATAGCAGGCTGACAAAGGGTTAAGCAGTCTCCTTTCACTGCCAATTCCTTTCCTTACCATTTCTTGTCCCTCCAGAAGTAAGTAGCTACTTCTGGTTTTAAAATGGACATTGAGTGGGGTGACGTCATATGGATCTGCATGTAATGTCTATTTTGGCCGGTGTGGAGATAAGGACCCCCTAAAGCTTCTTGAGTACACATTAGGTAATCCCAATAAGCATGCAAAGTGTTTCTCCCCATAGAAGCAGTCATGGGGCTTCCAGGGGGTGGATTCTAAGACGAGATTAAGATGATCTTAATAGCAGCTAACAACAAATCATGCCAGATCAGTCTAAATATCTGGCTCGGTTGGCGGGGGATTTCACTGAACTTAATACGTTTTGAAGCAAAGTTTTTGATCTTTTCCCACATGATAGTCTCCTAAGGAACCTTCAGAACTGCAGACAAGACGTTATTACGATAAATTAAGTACTCACATGTGTAAAAAATTTGCACTAATTGAGGAACAATTAATGGATCAACAACAGATTAGATAGCGGTCTTATGTGGTTTTATATACAACCATCAGAAGATGGTGCATCTGCAGTGCAGTTGGAAAAGTTTCAAAGGAAACCAGCTGGACTGACTGTAGGAGCAGCAAAACCATTCAAAGCGTTTTGTAGAGTACAGGACAAAATGAGAGAAAGAGGAAGAACCTGGTACAAGGACCTGCACCAACAGAATGGTAATTAAAAACAAGAGTTAAAATTAATATGTAGGTTGAAAATTATTATTATTCTGAGACATATGATCAAAATAGAAAGAGGTCATTAGAAATGAGACATTCAAGGAATACTTTTCCTGGAATACTAATGGGAAATAAAGGAGCTTAATGGATGGAAAACTTTTGGAAGTATACCTTTGGGTTATTTTAAATATTCTGGTGCCTTCTTTGTTTTCAATGGGTCAGGAGCCCCCAACCTACAACCTTGAGGGGTTATTAGAATTAGGATGGCGATTGTGTAGGACTGACTACAGTAAATCTCCTTATAGGAAGACAAATTCCCTGTTCAGACAGTGTGGCAATGCATGTGGATCATGCCTGCTGGCCTGGTCTCAATCTCATACTAGATGTGATGTCTGCAAAGTGGTCTAAAAGCAGGATCTGTACACCTGATCCATATTCTGGGAGGTAATGGAGCTATGTTTGTAGCCCACTGAGCAGACCACTTGCAGAAAATAGTATAAGAGAGCCACGAACGGGCAGAACCAATGGGGACAATTCCAAGCCCCCTCTACTGTATGGACACCTGACACAAGGCTTAGTTGTCTCTTGAGCAC